CTGAATAAGTGTGACTTCCTATGGGTTCAGGATCATTGTCTTTCGGGATTTAGTTATGCACAGTGTAACACATGCTTTTGAATGGGAAGCTTAAAATGATTGTTTGCTAAAATTTTGGCAAAAATGTTTAAAACATCCTCTGGGTTCTGTTTCATACCATTTTCCTGTTCCTTTTGGGAGCTGTAAAGTTTGTTAATCTATACCCTTCACTAATCCTATTCAGCATCATTGATTTGAGGATTAAAGATACATTTTACCAGAAGTTGTAAATATTAATGAAAAAATTCACCAATTTCTTTCTTGTTTTAACCATTTTTCTTGTGGTTTATGATTATAATGAAGTTAGTCTCACTGTTTCTCCCTGTGTAGTCAGAAGAGCCTTGATTGTGTATAGACGTATAAACAACCTTATTTCGAGCATTACTCAGATGCAAGAGAATGTGAGTCAGGATATGTTTTCCCGGTCTTGCTTGTGGTCTCTAGTCAAGTGTGGGATATTATTATTAATTTTTAGCACAGAAAAATATTTTATTGAAATTATTTCACCAAGATGTAGTAGGGAAACATTTGTAGGTTCCTATTATTCTGAAATAATTTTAAATAATGGAAATTGAATAGGTGTTGAATCTTTTAATAATCATGTTGAAGTATCTAATTCCAAAACATTTTAGCTAATAAGAATGAACAGTTGCATTGTTAAAGTTAACTTTCTATTTTTATATTATTTCATATATTGTTTTTACTTTCAGGTTTGTTGGCCGTCCTGGTCATTATGTATATGTATTTGATGGCTATCGAATGGAAGAGGTAAGTACACCTGAAATTCAAACAAGAGAGATCTTTAACAAAAAGAGATATATGTACAGTATATTTCAGTGGAGTCTAGGCAATAATGGAAAAAAAACCCCACATGTTAAAAGAAGATGTTAAATCTCCAAAATAAATAGACAAATCCCAAATTTTCCTTCTGAGGCACCTGTATGTTCTCTCTTTCTGCAGTTGTGAGTAATTCACAGACGTAAGTGAAGCTTCACCATTTTGGTGCTTTATGGTTGGACACTAAAGCACAAACAGCTTAAATTATTTGACCGAGGCCCTTGGGAAACCTGTGGCAGAGGCGGAACTTGAGTCTGGATTCACATTGTGTAGATCACAAGAAGCCTAGTGATTTTATTAGCCTAGAAAGCTATAGCCTTTTTGTGCTAAACCTGTGAACTTTTGTGGTTTTTTTTTTAAATTTCTTTTAACTGCTGCAGGTATTCCCTTGAAAATCAATAGACATCCTCAGGGTTTTACAATAAAGCTTACGCATAAGTCTTGCAAGATTGAAGGCTTTCCTTCCCCCTTGGGAGGCATCAGTTTGGAAGAGTACTGGTGATACTGCATTATGTTTATTGCATTGATTATATAGTAAATATTTTAAAAGGAAATATAGTAGCCCCAGGGCACAGTACATTATTTCAGAGCTCTGCATATTTTCCATAATGCAGTTTTATGAGTGGAGATGAAATACCTTGTTAAGGCTAGAATTACAGTGATTGATGAGCTCCGTGCTCCTGCACAAATTGGTGGCAGGGGTGACGGGCGCATATAGACATTGGTAGCTCTTCCAAGTGGGAACTTTTAAATGAATTCTCTTACTCCCTTCACACTCTATGGTTTTGTTTAATTACAGTGTGCTCCAGGAGGCTGTTTGATGGAACTCTGTGTTCAGCTGAGCATCATTATGCTTGGAAAACAACTGATTCAAAACAATCTGTTTGAAATTGGAATCCCGTATGTATCCCACCCTTCTCCGTTACCAGGCATTATTCCTGTGACACTGAAAATTAAAGCCTTGATCCTTATTCAGCTGAATGGGACTTTTGCCACTGACTTCAGTGGGTTCTAATTGAATGTGGTGATAAATCACACTTTAGGTTGTGAAGAAATGATCTGGCTGTATTTTATGTTGAATAATCAGCCATATCTGCAGTAAATGGCTTAAAGAAAGTGATTGAATATATTAAATAATTGATCTAAATTAATTTTAGAAACCTGGGAAAACAGGCAAGGTATGATAGATCCCTTGGGAAGTTTAGAGAGCTTTCAGAGTTGCAGCATTGAATACAAATTAGGATAGAGGAGAGATGGCATACAGAAAAGCAATAGCTCATAAAAAATGTTAAAATGTATCACTTGATCTCTGACTATTTTGTGGGTTTACAGGTAAAAGCCACGTATTTCTAAGGTGCCTGTAATGTCAGTATGTCACTGTATGATTCAGGAGCTAGAGTATGGGAGAGATGCTGACATGCTACTCAGTGAGTTTCTGCCACAGAAAGCTTAGTGCGCCATGTCCTCTGCTCCAGAAACAGCAAGAAATCTCTCCTGGTCAGTCTACAGTGTCAAGGGGATCTTCAGGCAAGAGAATCCACTGCTCCTGCCTCTTGAGAGGTTTTTTCTTGTTTCTGTTAACTGAATCATGCCTGTTGGTGGCAGCGGTCTGTGAAATGTTGTATTAGATGAGAGTCTGGCTTACACAAAAACCTCAGCTCCACTGAAGTTAATTAGAACCTTTCAATTCTGGTATTATTACTTTTGGATCACATGCCTAAGGAAGGTCTTGCAGATGTTATCTAGAAATGAAGATGACTGATGCTTAAAAGATTATGATTTTTTTTTTTTTTTTTAAAAAGAGCTTTTCCTCCATTTCCCCAGCAAGAACTTTTTTTGGAAGTATTTTGAATAGAAAAAAAAAATCCCAAGCAAATCAAATGTGGATTATGGATTGTTTAATTATTCTTGTGTCAAAGTTCACTAGGGAGGCCTGTTTTCTGTCTACATCTCATTAAGTTTACAGTTTATTTTGAGAAAAGAGTGGTAAATCATTCCCAAAATATCTGACATGTTGAAGATTTAAAATTTTCTCAGTGTAAATCTAGTGTGATTTTTTTTTTTCCCAGCTTCCAAAAACTTACTGCTACTGGATTCTTTCAATGGGGATTTTATGATGTTAGACGTACTCTATTTATTATTTTTGATTCATGAAAGCAGAGACTGATCCAGTCCAAACAGAAAATTCCTGTCAAACTATTTGTCAGTTCCCTCACTGCAACTCTTGGTGCAGTTTCATCCCATTTTTCTCCCTCATTTCTGCTATCCCACCATTCTGCTAACAACCTATGGTGGCTTCAATTTTTAAAACTGAATAACTATTTAAAAACAAACGCACTTTTGTCCTCTCCTTCCCAGAGAAATACCTAATTTCAGTCACAATGCTATCTTGTAGTCCTGAAATAAGCACATCTGGTTTTCCTTTGCTTGTCTGCATTCTCAAGAAAAGCACATATATATCTGTAGCCCTTCTCACTGGACCTGTCTGCACCAGGAGCACAGTGCTTTGCTGAACATTAAAGTTAATTAAATGAGAATTAGTCTTGTATTTCTGCATGGACTACTCTACTAGGTCCTTAATGGTGCTCTGTTCTACCTCATCTGCTCCACGTACACAGGCACACAGATATGCTTTGTGTGCCAATCAATCAGTTTTTCAGAGGGTTGTGCATAGGACTGCAAACACATAAATCCACACCAAAAAGGACTCCAAATGTTCATGTGTAGCACAAGTAGTAGTTCTGGCATGTCTGTGTCTCGCCTGTAATCTACTGCGTCTATATATGTTGTTGTCGGGAGATGTGACAGATTTACAGATAAGCATACCCTCATTCTCTGGCCTTCAGTCTTCTCATCTGGCTTCCTACTGTCTCCTATTCTCTGTGCTCTGCTACTTGTTTTCCTTGGTAATCTCTTACAATCAGCTCATCTCCTCTCTTAGATCACCCTCTATCTACTAAAAAGTTGAGGGTTTTTCTGTCCCAGGATATCTCTGTCCTTATCGGGGCCTTGTTCTATTTTCTGGTGTCTACATTTATACTCTGTTTAACAGTCTTCCTGTGGCAGAAACACAGATCAAACTTTTCTATCTCCATTTTCAGGAGCTGCATTTTTTTTCCCCCCTCTCGCCTTGTGCTACTTTGGAGGGAATTATATTCAGTGTGAATAACATTTGCTCTCTATGTCTTCACTGAGGGCAGAGTATAAGTGTTGCAATCAACCTTAACCATATGGAGAGGTAGAAGGGATTATCATAAACAGTGATTATTTCCTCAGAATCTGGAACCATCCTCTATATGTCTGTAACATGGAAGTATCTGTCTGCTATGTTAAAAAATGGCCCGGATCAAAAGATATAGTGCTCAGGGACATGGTTTAGAAGTGTACCTCCTTAGGTAATGGTTGAACTTGATGGTCTGGAGGTATTTTCCACTCATAATGACTCTATTGAAATCTCAGGATTTTAGTATGATTTTCAGAAAACCTTTGAATTTCATACACTATGGAACCCAAGGTATTTTAATTGCTTTGCAGATCACAAAGCCTTGCTCCTGTTTTCTCTCTTGCCCTCAAAAAATACTACAAAGTGCACGACAGGCTGAGTTTATAAGCAACAACTCTCTTTTAGGTCTCTAGCGCTCCAAATGCTGCCGCAGTCAGGAACAGTCATTCAAGGTCTTCCTTCCGGCTTATCCATAGTCAGTGCTGGCTGAAGCGTTATGCAGTTAAAATCCAGATGGCAGCCCTGCATTATTTGGGGTCATTGGAAGACATCCTTGCTTTTTCCGTCGATGTTCCTGGAGAAGCTGATGCACAGCTATGACAGATGTGACTTGCTAGTCTTGTAAACCTCTCTGTGATTTCTTTTTCAGTTTCTGCATCTAGGAATATCAAACCAGCTAAGTAAATGCAACAACATTTGAATTATGGAAAACTAAACCTTCTTGAACTATGTGTTCTGCAGAGCTAGAATTCCCAGGTTTAACAAATGTAAATATACCACAGTTCACTCACCTGTCAAATACCATAATTTTTTTACTGTTGCTACAGAAATTGGCCGGAAAAGGCTGCAGGGCTTGAAAGCGTTAACCTAGAGTTCCCTTAAGACTCCTTTTCTTCAATTCTGTTTTTCTGAACTTATTGAAAAAACTCTGGTTATCTTATTACTGCTGTGTCTTTGACCTTAATGGTAAACCCTTCGGGTGAAATCATGTCACTATTGAAGTCAAAGGCAAAACTCTCACTGACTTCAGTGGAGCCATGATTTTGGCCTTTTTATTTAAAATTAGTTTCCATCACTTACTTCAAAATGTACTTCACTGTGCTGGATGAGAATACCAAGAGTTAATAAAATCAGTTTAATGACACCCTTTCACAGCTATTAACTTTTAGATTGCTTTTCATCTTTAATAAATGATTCTTAATTAATGGGGTAGTTTTTACCTTTTTTTTTCTCCATGATATTGCATGACTGTCATAAATTTGTGAAACAGAATGAGAGATTAAAATCCTTTCGTTCTCCTCATACCTCCTTCTTGTACCCCCTACCTGTGAATATGAGAGGGCCTCTCCTTATGTAAACTGACTGGAGGAATATGACTGAAGAAAAGCCTGGACCTTTAGTGCTCCTTCCCCAAAGCAGCAAACAAAATTACAGGCAAGACCACAAGCATCTGAGTCATTGCACTTCTTCCTTTTCTCTAGACATAAGTACTCTAGCTAGTTGACCTAGCTAATCTCTTCTGTCTAGCTTTCCCCCTGTACCCTTTTCTACCATCCTACAAAGGAAAAAGCATTAGCTGGAAAGATAGCCTTAAAAACTATCTTCTGCCAGTAATCATTCACCCCTGGTAACTGGATTCTAGGGTTTTGTTATTGTTGTTTTCTTTTCTTCTAGACTTAGCATTTGCATCTCTGTTCTAGCAACTTCAAAATCTATGTCTTGGTGACCGTCATAGGTGATCTACCTTTGCAGTACCCCAGGGCATTTGTTAACTAAGAGTCTTGAGAAATTGGTAGACTGGCCCTCCATTGCAGTCTTTCTGTTCAGCTGTGGTGCAGATGCATTGTGGGGACTGCACAGACACCAAAGACACAAAGACCTTAGCCAACAAAATAATTTTCATGCATCTGTCCTATATCAGTCCTGTTCCCCAGCTGCCCTGCCTTGCCAACCTCTGTATGTTCTGCTCTGTCTCACTCCTCAAATTCATCATTTTTCCCAAGTCATTCTCATGTCTTCCTCTAGATCTCCAAAATCTTGCTGCTCCTTATTACTGCATAAATAGGGAAACTACTGAGTTGTCTGTCTGTTTCTTTCTTTTTTCAAAAGGAGGCTTCATGTAAATGCATCATGTACTTGCAGCCCAGATAGGATCACTTTGATTTTGGTTTCTTCTTTCCCCATCTTTTTTGTCAAAAGTTTGTGGGTTCTTCAGGGATGGGACATTTTCCTGTAGTGATTTTATATTCTCTTTAGATGCTGATTACCTTGCATAATGCAATGTTTATTGATTATATTAGGAAATACAAACAGCATAATTAAACTATGTTCCCACTTCTTATCAAACACAACAGTTTGGTGCCAATACCTTATGAGAAACTGAAGCATCAGACATAGCTTTCTGACGAGAATCTGTTCTTCATTTTCTTTCTCCCTGATCCTACATTCGTTCTTCTTTCATGCTATTCAGTCTCCTTAAGAATGTATCTTTTTGATATTCACTAACAAAAGGACCAGAAATAGTAGCTATTCTACAGTTTCCTCTTTTTGTCCAGATTCTTATGATTACTAGTGAGATTATGAGACTTTGCTGCATATGCTTCTTCAGCACAAAGCGTCTCAAACACTCATCCTGAATGGGCAAACCTACCTCTGTCTCACTGGTGAGGCTGCCTGACACACAGAAATTGGAAACCAAAGTCATTCTTGATTATCATTTCCTGTCAACTTTGTTTAAAACTGTTGATCTGAGTAATTAAAAAACAGGTTTCACACAGTGCATTTAAAAAAGCTTACTCAGTTTTAATAACACAATCATATGTGCAGCTATAGAGTTCTGCAAAACTCATTTTTATTGACCTACTGTTGTATAGCTGGAAAATAACACTGTGCAAAACCCCGTTCCCTATTCCTTTAACTTTCTGACATGTTTCTGTTTGGTCTCAAACTTCACATGCTTGGATATGACACAAAGGTACAGTTTTTGTTGAAGAAAGAAAAGTTTGGCTTGCTTTCATTTAGTTGATTTTTTAAAAATCACATAAAAATAAAAATATGAACACTCTTCAAAGCTTAACTCAAAATGGTTAAAAGTGCCACTCCTCATGCCTGGCTTATAGATAGCCAGGTGAAAAATTAAAAATTATTCTGGATAATCTAGCCCTTGGATTTAGTGTATTCCTGAGTAAACATTAAAAACAACAACTGTTGTTTTAGTTACTGTATTCTTGGGGGAGTTATGTGTATACATTAAACTCAATTACTTGACTCGGTGGTGCTATAACCAGAGGATTAGATCACACATGTATGGAGTTCATATCTAAACACACCCAAATTTTATCTCAGTTGCTGCACAGTGACAGTGAGATGCTCTTCAATCTAATCTGCCCATGGAAATGTGGGGGACATTTATAGCTCATATTGTTTTATTGGAGCAGAAATCGGTGCTGCCTTGAACTTACTGTTCACTGTCCTTTGAGAGTCCACCACATTAGGAAATTAATTGGGATATGCTGGAAGAGTATACTGGGAATTTTTTGATTGTTTTAAATCCTGCCCCCAGCCCCTTACCCTCTGAATAGTATATTACCCCCGTCAAAAATAAGTTCCCCTGGTTGTCATAAAAACAGAGAAGGAGAAAGGAAATTTTAGTGTCTTGAAATGGCTGAGTTTGCATGATGTAGGAGGCATCTTTGTAAGGATCCATCTAATTCTTTCTTGTGAAGTATTTTAAATGTCCCCACATTTTATCGAAACTAAATGTTCTAGATGCCATAGGTATTTGGTGAGCTTCAATACGTCTGGAAATCACCAAAGTACAGAGGTTATTAACATCAAATTTATGAGCTCCATCTTAGCTACACCTGGAATAAAAGTGGAAGTTGATTCATTGACTTCTGCAGCTTTGTAAAGCTGAGACTGACAGGGCCTGATGCAATCTCAATCTGTTTTAAGAGCGTCTGCCAATCCCCATTTCCTCTGTATCAGTGACAAAAATTGATTGATGCAGAACTTCTGTGGCCACTGTGGTCATTTCCAGGCTGCTATAGAGCCTTGGGCTACATGGAGACAACAGTGCTCCTGTGTGGCTCACTGTATGTTCAGGACCAAAGCAATAAACCTACCCAGCAAAGCCTTTAGTGTGTTTGCCAGCTAGCTTTGCCCTGCTACTTACGTTAGGGTCTGAGAAAGCAGTTCTGCTTAACTGGAGGTAAAAATGAACACCCCTACCATTTCCCCATTCAGTCCCATCTCCAGGCCACACACCTCTAGTTCAAAGGATTCATCACAAGCTGTGGGGGACGAGTTTGTGGGAGAGTCCCGATTACACTTCTGGCAAAACATCACTGGAATTAATCTGGATTTTCATTCACATGGCACATATGTGAAGAAGCATAAAATAATGTCATGCATATTTGTGAAAGATAAATTTCATCTGCAAAATGAAGGCTTACAGCAAGTATAAATCTTGCTGGTTTTTGCTAGTTCATCTATATTTCGCTCCTTGATTTTGAAGAAATATCTCTTTCTATTGCATGGGAATTTCTCAATGTGTAAAATAGTATGAAATTATTGACGCATGTGCATTTAAAATGTCATCTGTGGAGGGTATTGGGAATACTTAACTCTTCTTTTAGAGATGGATTAATTTTATTCTGGGGTTATACTACATACGATATTCATGTATTTGTCAGTGTCATACAATTTGTTTCCCCATCTCAGTGGGAGAGTGATTGATAGTACTGTTCCTACTGAGGTCCAAAAAATACTTGCACAAATAATTGCTCACCCATGGGACTAATTTGTAGTCTGGCCAAAATGGACAACATTATCATAAAACATAGTGAAAATAAGAACTTCTGACAAAACCTCTTCTGATCTACAGGAGCAGGGAGACATAATGGATCTGTGCTTACTTAAGAAATGATGGGGAATACTTTTGCTTTTCTGCTTTGGAGGCAGCATAGTTGGTCTTGCAAGATGTATACTTTTCAGGTAGCAGAAATATTTCTTGTCCAAAATCTGGAATTTCCAATTCTTACTGTAATAGTGATTGCGTGCTAGCTCAGTGTTCCATCTTTATACAAGCTGTGGCGTGTCTAAAGATGTCAAGGGTTAGGGAAGGAAAACTCAAAGCCTCTAAAACTCTTCTGAGAAACCTCTGAAGAGAAGTTACATGGTTGTGCCAATGCATAAAACATTTCCTGGTGAAGTAAGTTTTTCAGGGCTTACACAAATCTACCTCTTTTTTAGGTGCTGCAGATTTATTAGCAGGGGTGTTCATTTTCTTTTGTTTTGAAAAACAGGCAGTTTTTCTGCTAAAATGTTGGTAAGTCCACCAGGTTTAGAAATCAGTGCATTCCTTCACCCTCTTTGTTAGGCAATATATCCAGTCATTTTGATCTTAAAACTATACTGTATTGGAAGTTCCCAAGTTCTGTGGTGAGAGAAAAGTGCACTTGTGCTAGATATGTGCTATGAAAGTATCGCACTGCTTTCTGGTATTTCCCTTCCTCCCCTCCCTTCCCTTCTTTCTTTTGAGGCGAGTTCTCAGTGTGTTGGTTCTGAGGGTATAGTTACTAAAATTATTTAGGTCCAAGGTGCTTGAACTGCAGGAAGATGCCCGTTCAACACATGTCTAGGGAGAAAAAATTATTAAAAAGTACTGGCTTCAACTCCATTTTAACAGTATTAGGCTGTTGTAACCTTCCTTTCGACACAGGAACACAGGGATGGCTGCCCCCAGCAGCCTGTTACCTGGCAGTAAGCAGCACTAGAACTTCAAAGGAAAGCTAAGCCTACGTGGCATGAAAGGAATGTGATAAACATTTTGTGTTGTTGCACAAAGACTTGGGCCAAATCTCGTAGGGAAA